TGTGCCCTGGAGAGGACACTCCAGCTTCGCTACACAGCGTCGAATAAACACGGGAAGCAGCAGTCTACCGGTGATAAGTTACAATGCTTGATTGGCGTAGAGCATGGCGCCAGGGGTTGCTTCCGTCGGTGGGATGGATCTTCGAATCTCATGGGACAGCTACTACCCACCCAAGCCGGGCAACCCCCGGACAACTAGATGCTGTCCCGCCAAGGTCTGTCTTCCACATTGGGTGCATAGGGATTAGGTAACAACTGACAAGCAGACCGCAACATCCACAGCAAGCAAGAAAACAAGAATAAACAGCAAAAAGAGACCAGCTCTTAAAGTTGGAACTTGGAATGTCCGCACAATGACCACAGGACTTGAAGACCTAAAGAACATCAAAGACGCAAGAAATACCGCCATGATCAACGACGAGCTTCTGCGACTGGGAGTGGATATCGCCTCTCTACAGGAGACCCGTCTATTAGACTCGGGATCGCTGAAAGAGAAGACTACACTTTCTTCTGGCAGGGAAAGAGCGCCGAGAACTGTAGAGAGCATGGAGTGGGCTTTGCATTCAGGAACACCTTTCTGAAGATGGTCGAACCAGGGGACAAAGGATGGGAATCTCTTCTGACTCTCCGCCTCCACACCTCTGACGGTCCAGCCGCTCTAATCAATGCCTATGCTCCTACCTTGACCTCCACGCCTGAGGTAAAAGACGAATTCTACACCAGCTTGACTGACGTCATCAAGAACATCCCCAGCAACGAGCATCTTTACCTCCTGGGTGATTTCAACGCCAGAGTGGGCACTGACCACAACTCTTGGCCTTCCTGCCTGAGTTCCTTTAGAGTTGGCAAGGTCAACGACAACGGACAGCGCTTGCTAGAGCTCTGCTCCTACCTTGGCTTCTGTGTGACCAACACCTTCTTCCAGACGAAGCCACAGCACAGAGTGTCCTGACGGCATCCAAGCTCTAAACACTGGCATCAGCTCGACATGATCATCGTCAGGCGACGAACCTCAAGCACGTGTTTTTCACCCGCAGCAGCCACAGTGCAGACTGTGACACAGACCACTCCCTGGTATGCTGTAAGATCCGCTTGATACCAAAGAAATTCCACCGCTCCAAGCCTCAAGGGAAGCCGCGCATCGACACCACCAAGATGCAACACGAAAAGATGCTTGAGGAGTTTGCCAAGTCCTTCGAGGACGTTATCTCCACAGACCATCCACACAGCACAGCCTCTGAAACTTGGAACCACCTACGCCAGTGTATTCAAACATCGGCACTCGCCACCTTCGGAAAAAAGACATCTGTGTGCTGTGACAGGTTAGACGCTAAGTCCCCAGAGATGACACCGGTTATCGAGGTGAAGCGGGCAACCCTTGCTGAATATAAACGTACTCCAAGCGAGAAGACCCTTCAAGCACTCAGAAAAACTCGAAGTAAGGTGCAGCAGACAGCAAGGAGATGCGCCAATGAGTATTGGCAAGAGCTCAATCACGACATCCAGACTGCAGCAACAACTGGCAACATCAGACGTATGTATGAGGGCACCAAGAAAGCTCTCGGACCGACTCAGAGCAAGACAGCACCTCTCAAATCCACCAACGGGGAAGTGATCACCGACAAAGGTAAACAGATGGACAGATGGGTGGGACACTACTCAGAGCTCTACTCTAGAGAGACCAGTGCTGTGACCTAGGCACTTGATGCCATCGAACCTCTTCCCATCATGGAGGACCTAGATGCCGAACCAACACTGGAGCAACTCAGTAAGGCCATTGACAGTTTGGCCTGAGGCAAAGCCCCCGGGACTGACGGCATCCCCCCAGACCTCATCAAGCACTGCAAGTCCACCCTCCTGCAGCCGCTACACGACACTCTGCCTGTTCTGGCAGGAGGGCGGCGTCTTACAAGACATGAAAGATGCCAAGATTGTCACTCTGTACAGAAATAAAGGGGAAAGGAGTGACTGCAACAGCTACAGAGGCATCTCCCTCCTGAGCATCGTGGGCAAAGTTTATGCCCGAGTCTCGCTTGCACGTCTCCATCTGCTGGCTGAACATGTCTACCCCGAGTCCCAGCGTGGCTTCCGAGCAGGACGCTCAACAGTAGACATGATCTTCTCCCTCCGCCAACTCCAGGAGAAGTGTAAGGAATAATAGAAACCCCTCTACATTGCCTTCATAGACCTAACCAAGGCCTTCGACTTGGTTAGCCGGGACGGGCTGTTCAATATCCTCTTAGTGGCATGTTTACTCGCGATAATGGGTTCATCGACCTATGGCATTTTACGAAACCTTGTTTACCCGGAAAAGCCCAAGGATAAGTCTCTAGATGAAATTTCTAACATTCTTGAAGAACGTTTCACGAGAAAAAGGTTGAACTAGCCGAAAGATTTAGGTTCTACACCGCCATGCAAGAGTCAGAGACTATTTCGCAATTCGTGTCTCGTCTGAAAAAGGTTCAAGCTATTGTAATTTCGGAGACAAGCTGAATGATATGATTCGTGACCGACTGGTGTGTGGAATCAAAGATCGAAATACCCAAAAGAAGCTGTTGGTGGAAAGTGGTTTAACCCTAGAAAAAGCCATCAAAGTAGCGATCGCCGACGAAGCAGCGAACAAAGATGTCGCAGAGCTCGCGAAAGCTAGAGGCATGGTTCCAACCAGCGAAGTTCATCGAATGAAAGCCACACCTTAAAAACCGCCAAAACCGAAAACAAATAAAGAAGACAACCCTCATGGTGAAACAAAATGTAAACACTGTGGAAAAAGAAACCATTCTGCAGAAAAATGCAAATTCAAGCGTGCTTCATGCCATAAATGCAACAAACAAGGACACATTGCACCTGTTTGTAAGTCTTCAAAGAAATCTCAAGTTCATGCAGTCGAGGAAAAGCTCTCAGACTCTGAAGAAAACACAATGAAGAATTTGATGACTACTCTTACCTGTACAACATCCAAGGTGAATCAATAAACCCCAGCATGATAGAAATTGAAATTGAAAACCGACCAGTTTGTATGAAAATTGACACTGGCTCTGGAAAGTCTATCATAGGCGAAAACCTCTACAAGGATAAATTCTCAAACCTGCCATTAAAGCAATCACCTCTCACCTTTGTGACCTTCACAAAAGAGGAAATTAAGCCTCTTGGATAAGTGGACGTAGAAGTCCAATATGGAAGTCAGTCACTTATACTACCCTTGTATGTCATCAAAACTAACTCACCACCCTTATTTGGACGTGAATGGTTGAAAGCCATCCAAATCAACTGGCAGCAAATTCACAAAATGTCTACACCAATCAACATTAATCAAGTACTTCAGCTTCATAACAGTCTCTTCGACGGTCAACTTGGAAAGTTAAATAAAATTGAGGCTAAACTCAACCGCAAGGCCGGAGCAACGTCAGTCTTTCACAAGGCTAGACCTGTCCCCTTTGCAAAGAAATTAAAGATAAGTGAAAATCTTAACCTGCTAGAATCTCAAGGAATCATCGAGAAAGTGCAGTACAGCGAATGGGTTGCACCTATTGTCACTGTTGACAAGCCTGATGGAGGAGTAAGGATATGCGGAGGCTTTAAAGTAACTGTTAATCCTGAGTTAGAAGTCGACAAATATCCTTTACCTCGTATTGATGAAATATTCACCAATGTTGCTGGTGGCAAATAGTTCTCAAAGCTAGATCTAAGTCACCCCTACCTACAAATGGAAGTTGCAGAAAAATGTCGTCCACTTAACACATTGAATACTCACCAAGGACTTTACCAGCACAAACTGTTAGTCTATGGAAGAGCATCAGCACCTGCTCTATGGCAAAAGGCAATGGATCAAGTCCTCCAAGGTATTCCTGGCACTCAATGCTATATTGATGACATAACTGTCACTTGAAAAAATAATCAGTAACATTGTGAAAATCTTGACAGAGTTATGACCCATCTAGAAGGTGCAGGACTGAAGTTGAATAAAACTAAATGTGAATTTATGAAGAATGAAATTGAATACTGTGGACATGTGATCAACAAAGATGGTCTGTGTAAACCTCATAAGAAAATTGAAGCAGTTGTGAATGCCCCCAGCCCACAGAATGTAAATCAGCTGAGATCACGGCTTGGATTTTTGAATTACTATCGTAAATTTCTGCCAAACCTTGCAACAGAGCTGCGACCACTATATTCGTTATTGAAACAGGACACTCCCTGGCACTGGAAAAGGGAATAAGAAGTAGCGTTTACAAAAGTGAAATCAATGGTAGCATCTGACACCGTTCTCACACATTATGATCCTGACAAAGAATTAGGCTTAGCAACGGACGCAATAGCTTATGGTCTTGGGTGTGTTTTATCCCATGTTATGCCAGATGGTAGTGAGAGACCGATAGCATTTGCTTCACGCACACTGAATAACACAGAGAAAGTCTACCCTCAGCTACAAAAAAAAGCCCTCTCGCTTGTGTGGGGTGTGTAAAGGTTTCAGTATCATCTTGAAGGTCGTCCATTCACCATATTGACTGACCACAAACCACTTACAACAATATTTCACCCTCATAAAGGAATTTCAGCTACAGCATCAGCTCGTATTCAACGCTGGGCTCTATTTCTTAGTGGATTCTCATATCAAATAGAGTATTAAAACACTAAGACTCATGGAAATGCAGATGGACTGTCTAGTCTGCCCTTGAATTGCACTAAAGAAGACGAAAACCGTAAAGATCCAGCAGACATCTTCCACTTAGATCAAATTGACAGACTACCTGTCAAAGTGAAAGAATTGAGGAAGGAGATCAGAAATAATCCTATTCTTGCCAAAGTGATCCTAGCTGTAATGTCTGGGTGGCCTGCAAAACAACAGTTACATCCAGACCTCCTACCTTATTTCCAGAAAAGAGAAGAACTTGCCATCTATGATGGATTTTTTTGTGAGGAGGACGAGTAATTGTTCCACCAAAACTCCAACAACGCGTTCTAGAGGAATTACGTGAAGGCCACATCGGAATTTCCAAAATGAAGGGATTAGCCCGTAGCTATTTCTGGTGGACCGGCTTGGATTCTCAAATTGACACCACATGCAGAACCTGTGAAGGTTGTGCACTTACAGAAAACAATCCTCCGGCTGCTCCTGTACATAGGTGGAAACTTCCAGAAAAGCCCTGGTACCGAGTCCACATAGACTGCGCAGGACCCTTTATGAACTCTATGTTTCTTGTAGCAGTCGACGCACACTCAAAATGGCCAGAAGTTCACATCATGTCATCAACAACATCTTCAAAAACAATTGAAGTGCTGAGAACCATATTTGCCACTCATGGTCTGCCAACTCAAATTGTTTCAGACAATGGCTCAGAACTCAGTTAGGAAGGAAATTCTTTATTCGCACTATTTCAAGTGGTTACTACAGATTATACAAGTCAGACCATATAAAAAACAGTAAATTACATCAATAATCAAAAGTAAAATGTGCACAGTGACCAAAGTAGCATAGCTTTCGAGTTGGCCACTGTCACGTATAATTAACTGGTGTATCTTAACATTTACACAAGACTTACTTTACTTTAATTCTATATTTACACTAACCAAAAGGTCAGAAGAATTTGAAACCTTTCTTAAGATGAATGGAATACA